AGGAAGGAAGGAAGGAAGGAAGGAAGGAAGGAAGGAAGGAAGGAAGGAAGGAAGGGAAAGTTGCAAAATATTTATAAATGACCATTCTAAATGCTTTGAAAAAGTTGTGAAAACTTGGAGTTAACATTTATTTTGACAGGTGTAGATTAAGAAAAATGAAGTATGGAATGAGTTACATATTTTGTTTTCCTGATTTATGAATCTCTGGTATAGTCAGTGGTTATGCTGTAAAGTAGGTAAAGTCTGCTGAATTTTTCTGGAATTCAAAGACCAGAAGAAACATTCCACTAAAGAACAGCGGTTTTCAGATCAAATTATTATTGCACTTGGCTAGGTCAATAGTCGTCAAGTTCTCTGTGTTAAGTCATCTGGATTCCTTTATATCCAAAACTGTAGAAGAGCACAGAATTATACAAACTTAAGCTAAATCTTTATGTTCGTAGTATTTTGATACCAAATTAAAAGTTAGAGTAAAAATAGAGTATCAGTTATGTTGAGTGATAGTTTACTTAAAAATATATTCTTTGAAATAGGGATCTATAGGATTAATAGCAGATTAATAGTCAGCAGTATTAACTTCTGACACAAATCATCTTGTGATCTTCTCCCCCAGGATGTAACAATTTGTTCCGCTTGTGCACCTCCTGGTGGTGGACGTAATCCAGTTACCGCACGTTTCATAAGACACTTTGCTATGCTGTGCCTTCCAACACCCTCTGAACATAGCCTTAAACAAATTTTTCAGGTCAGTGCCACCATCTGTGTACATAAAAAGAAAAAAATATATATTTCTTTGGGTTTTCTGTCATAGCATGTTGCTGTGTGGTGCTAGACTCACACAGCTGGGCTAAATCTGTTGGTAATTTCACTTAAATCAGAATATAAAGGAGCAAATATACCTGTATAAATCAACAATTGAGGTCAGGTTTCTGTTTTTGGATTTATTGTTTTAATTGTTCTTCTGGTTTTTACTGTTGTTTTGAGCTGCTGAGTGTTCTGTTCTTAAGATGGGTGGCCATACACATCTTTTAAATAAACAAACAAACAGGGCTAGACATGATTGTCTTATGTTCAAACTGCCAAAATTTTCTTTTTTTCAGATCTTTTTCTGCAGAAAAGCTTCTCAGGCTAAAACGTACTAGTACATTTAATATTTGTTTGTACAGATAATGATCTCTATACCCTCAAAGTCTTTCTTTCTGTGGCTTTACAAATTAAAGAAAGTTTTTTTTTTAAAAGCAACAGTGCAAGCCAAATCTTTATATTCCAGCTGTGAATAGATGAATCATTCTGATGCACAATAGAATTTTTGCCATCAGCTTGTGTGTTTTGGCAATGAGACAGAGTTCCGTTGCTTTCACATGCTTCCCTATTGCTTTAATTTGTTTTCAAACTATGAACTGTCCCTTCAATCGTAATGAATGGGGAGTCTTTGTACATGTGGAAGTTGGCATACCTGTACTCAGAGTAGATGAAGAATTTGAGCACTTTTTACAGAGTGGGTTTTTTTTTTCTGTTGATATAGAGCTAGAGCTTTATTTTTACTAATTTTTAAAATCAAAATTGTTGTAAAAGAAAGAAACAAAATAAAATATTTAGCTTTGTGTTTTATATTATTTTTCCCTTGGTCTAGGCTATTCTGAAAGGCTTCCTAGCTGAATTTTCCCAAGCAGTAAAGCAGTGTGCAAGTAGTATAGTGGAGGCTGCTGTTGAAATATATCAAAGAATGAGTATTGATCTGCTCCCAACACCCGCAAAATCTCACTATGTGTTTAATTTACGTGATTTGTCAAAGTGTGTCCAAGGTAAGGTATATATATTCCATAAAGTAATCGTTGTGGTTGTTGTTGTTGTTGTTGTTGTAGTACAAATTCTGTGCTCACATCTTCTCTATAAATATAGAGAATAATCCTATGCCTAGTTAGTAGGTGTACTTAATTCCAGTCCTATGCCTACTTAGCAACACCTTTATTTTTAAGAATCTCTCTTGAGTCCCACGTAGGTCCCATAAGCATGTCTGGGGGTGGGAAGAACCTGGGTGACTACAGTAAAGTACCCCCCCCCAGCCATTTTGTGCGAGCACCAATTACACTGTCAACATTCCAAATGTGGATAGGTTTGCCCTTTTTAATTAGTGGATAGAATCAACCCTATTTGGTAAACTACTGAGATTGCTTCCCTCAATCCTCTCTAGTCATCAAGCATATGCTCAGTTTTACATATTTATATAACTTATATACCATATGCTTGAATGGAAATACTAATTTGATTGTAAGTGTGACAAAGAAATAAAAATGAATTAGTATTTATATATGTATATGAATTTCCCAAATTTCCCAAATTTTGGATCTGAGACAAGGAGGTTTTCTGCTGCTTTTCTGTCGTAGTGCCAACAATGTGGAATAGTCTCTCTGTGGAGGTCAGGCTGGCTTCCCCCCTTTGCTGGTTTTCTGCAAACTTCTAAAGACCAAGCTTTTTCAGAAAGCCTTCCCTTGATCTGAGATGTTATTGCTGTGTTCTGTTTTCTTTTCATTTGGATAATTTCATGTGTTTGTTATTTTTGTGTGAGGTTGTTTTATATTGTATTTTTTACATAAGCCTCCAAGAGTCATTTGCAGTTGCAGCAGCATAGAAATGTAGTACAAATATTCCTTGTACTATAAAAATCTGTATGCAGTTGTTTTCTGTGTTAAACGTGACATTCTGTACAAGGTTCACAATAAGATATATTGGACTGCAATACTTTTCCTCATAGCATAGGATGAGAAGAACTGTAACCTAAATAGGTATGGAGAGAATCAATCAAACAAAGAATAGTCTACACCATCACCATTCAGTGCTTTTCTGTTGTGATCAAAACTGATATCATACAACATGCACATAAATAATTTTCTGTTAGAGATTAAACTGAGAAGAAGCTTTGTTAAAGAAAGCTTATCCTTTTGGAACACTCTCCTTTAGTTAACAAAATATGAAATACTGAAGAAACAGGAAGACTATATATTCTATGAAGATACCTTTTAAAATTCTTTAGCTGCAGGACTATTCAAGTGGAAGAATAATGAGGAGGGCAGAGCTGGCATCGCGGCGATACGGCGGGCGATCCTGGGCTCCCAGGATCACAGCCGATATCTCCCCCCCCGGATGGTCCCGATGGACCTAAGCCGTCCCGTAGAGACGGTG